CAGCTTGTGCACACACTGTGCCAAGAGTGTGTCTTGACGCTGCACACCATGTAAATGGGTACATGGTGTCAGGATAGCATTGGGGTGGAGTCAGGGCAGCTGGTGTGCAGCTGCCCCACTCCATCTCCACCCCCAGGCCAGCCCTTTAGGCTGATCTGCAAAGGCCCTTAGTTTCAGCAAATAGAGTTCAAAGTATAAAAGCCATTTGCAATCTACTAATAGAGGGAAGAGGATGAGAGGGGTGAAATCTTTCACTTCTCTGTAGACAAAAGCAAACTGCTGTTTCTCCTAGCTTGGGTGTTCTTCCTCATTAATAATGTTTGGAACCTTGAACATACTCTGTTGTTGTTTGACCACACATATTCCATTTTTCATCTATGAAATGTTGGAGGGTATGGATTACTAGTTCCTGGAATAAGATAGCTGGTAATTAGAAAGACATCTGGTGAAGACATTGTAGACCAGGGTGAGCACTGTATTGCTTATAGGCCACATGCAAGCATCACTCCCATTTGCCATGACAAAAAACAAAGGTCCTTTCCTTCTTTTCTCTCTTTTGCTTAGCATGTGAAAGGAATGAAGACACTCTTCTCTACCAGTTTGCAGGGTTCTGTGGTGCAGGGGGGTGGCATCTTCCTCTATCATAGTAATGCAACTTCCTGCATCATAAGAATACCATTATGGCTGCAGTCAAATTTGGATAACAATCATGGAAGTAATGAGAAACTTGGTGGCAGCTATGTATTTTTTGGTGTATAGCTAAATGGTCCAGCCCTGATAAGTAAAAGATGAGGTTCAACGTTGTCTCACACACTAGGAGTAGACCCATTGCCCCTCAACACAAACAATACCTCCACTCCATCTGACGTCATCTGGGGGAGAGATGCAGGCCCATCTTCATTGGGCCTAGCCTAAGAAGAAGAACCCTCCCTTTTTAAGGGGCGGGTAGGTTTCAGGATTTTTAGGTTCTGTTTACAGTGTATTAACATATCGGTATGGAAATTTTAATGTTGTAAGCCTCCCCAATTGCTCTGTAGAGGGGCGGGATATAAAGAAATAAATTATTATTATTATTATTATTATTATTATTATTATTATTATTATTATTATATACTGGACTAGCTGGACCAAAATCCCAACTCAGTATAAGACAGATGCATGTATAACCATGGCTTGGATCCTTTGCTTACCCCAAACTAGAGCAGATGCACTGAATTAATTCCTGAATGGCACATTCATAAATCCCACTGATTTGATAGTCTGCTCAAGGTGGTACTAAAATAGGACTCATGTCTTCAGACCATCTTGAAGCTCATCTTCAAAGCACTACCTACTTCCAAATGAAAGTTTCCATTAGTGTGTTCTACAATGTAGGTTTTTCTGCTGGTTTAACCAGCAGAAAAAATACTACTAATACCACCACCACCACTACTACCAGTTCTTCTTCTTCTTCTTCTTCTAAAAGACATGTTATTCCATCTGTTATCATGGATCATTGAAAAGAATTATGCAAAACCCAGGGTGATGGATTACCAGGCTACAGTATTGCCATTTGGTATTTTGTACACACACACATATCATCACTGAAATATTTGACCATGGCATGCCCTTCATGCTTCTACTACTTACTCAACATGAATTTCTCTGCTGAGTTTTACCAGCAAAGAAACTGGAGAAGAAATCATTGTTTTCCTCCTATGAAAACAGAATCTTCACATTAGAGAAGCTTGATAGATATTAATGTCTGCAAACCTCCAGTGTATTGGGCTTGGCCAATGCATGCTCCAGTTATGCACAATACCATCTCACTCCAAGTAGTTGTGCAAATCCAGTCAATACTAGCTTTACAAATGCATCGGAAATGAACTTCCTGAGAGCTCATATTAATAGACTGCCTAAACAATACACTTGAATGCAATTAGAATATTACATGCATATCCTCTACTGCTAACCAACATATGTCAACAGATATGGAAAACAAAACGATGGCCATCAGATTGGAAGTGATCAATATACATCCCCATCCACAAAAAGGGAGACACAAGAGACTGGAGCAACTATAGGACCACAGCACTGATCTCCCATGCAAGCAAAATCATGCTCAAAATTCTGAAACATAGACTCCAATCATACATGGAGAGAGAAATCCCAGAGGTCTAAGTGGGATTCAGGAGAGGAAGAGGCACTAGGGACCACATCACAAACATATGATGGCTAATGGAGCACGCCAAGGAATTCCAAAATAACAACAACAACAACAAAATAATAATAATAATAATAATAATAATAATAATAATAATAATAATAATAAAAAGAAAAACAGCATGTGCTTTATAGACTATAGCAAAGCCTTTGACTAAATAGATGAGGGGTAGGCAACCTTTCCACTTTAAGGGCCGAGGGACTTCAGCTCCCAGAGTCCCAGGAGTCATTGGCCAACACGGGACTATTGGCCAACATGGCTGAGGCTTCTGGGAGCTAAAGTCCCTCAGCCCTTAAAGGGGAAAGGTTGCCTACCCCTGGCATAGATCATGAAAGGCTATGGAACTCTCTTAAAGGCATGGGAGTGCCAACACATCTGATAGTCCTGATGAGAAATCTGTACTCAGGACAAGAGGCTACTGCCAGAACACAAAGAAACAGAATGGTTCCCAATTGGTAAAGGGGTCAGACAAGGCTGCATCCTTTCACCTTATCTGTTCAACTTGTATGCAGAACATGTTATAAGAAAAGCAAGCTTGGACACATAAACAGGAGGAGTAAAAATAGGATGAAAGGATATCAATAATCTGTGATATGCTGATGACACCATAATACTTGCAGAAAAGCTCACAGATCTGGAACAACTACTAAGGAAGATCAATGAAGAAAGTGCAAAAACAGGCTTACTGTTAAATATAAAGAAAACAAAAATAATAACCATGGAGAACATACATAATTTCAAACTAGACAATGAGGAAATAGAAATACTAAAAGAGTTCTCATATCTGGGATCAAATATTGATAGAAATGGGCACTGCAGCCAGGAAATCAGAAGAAGATTAAGAATGGGGGGGGGGGGGCAGCTATGAAAGAACTAGAAAAGATCCTAAAATGCAAAGATATACAACTCAGCACAAAAGTTAGAATCATTCAAGCCATTGTATTCCCCATTACAATATATGGATGGGAGAGCTGGGCAGTTAAAAAAGATGATAGGAAGAAAATGAATTCATTCAAGATGTGGTGCTGGAGAAGAGTGCTGAGGATCCTACAGATGGAGAAAAAGACAAAGGACGTTATCGCACGGAGGAAATCTGTTGGTTAATCCCCACAAATCCCAAACAAAAACTGAATTTGCGCCTCATGATTTCACACGA